GTGACCAGTATGTGGCCGTCCATGGGCCCAGGCCGGTCATCCAGACAGCCTTGGGGTGCCTATTTCATGCGGCTCTCGCTGGGGGCATACCCCCACCGCAACATGCTTGCATCCTGCCGGTGTGGACCAGGCCTGCGCGGGCTCGGACTGATCACGTGCCTCCGTCCATGTGCGAAAGCACCGCGACCGGAGACAAAACAGTAGGGGGATGGACGGGTGGGAAACAAGGAGGGAAAGGCCGTGTAGCACGGAGGAAGGATGGAGGACTCCAGGAGGGAGTGAAGAGGCGAGAGCGACAGATAGGAAGGAGAGGGGGGAAAGACGATACAGGCAGATGGACAGGCGCAGAGCGACAGATAGGAAGGAGAGGGGGGAAAGACGATACAGGCAGATGGACAGGCGCAAAAGAGCCGCCCCAAGGGGGAGGAGGAAGGAGGGAATGGAAGGGGATTGGGGGAATGATGGGACCTATGCCGCTACTACACGGACCTCTCCCTGGGTGCATTCTGACAAGAATTCCGAAGCAAATCCAACGGTCACGACGAAGGCTCTTCAGGACGAGCAGCGGCATCTGCAAGCGAGGGAAGAGGAGGGGGCAGGGAAAATGGAGGCAAGATCGGGACGAAGTCGGATCAAGACAATGAAGGTAGACGATGAAAAAAAACAATCGGGGGGGACGAATGAACAAATGGCTTCGCTGGCCTCTTGGCGCCCACGAAACCGAGCCAAGGAGCCCGGCCCACGGAGGGAGGACAATTCGGGTCGGCCCCCAGGATGTCTCGGAGGCCAGGGGAAGCCCGAAGGCTAACAATTCGGAGCGGCGGGAGTGGCGGTTCGGACAGGTCTAAGGTCTAAGGTCTAAGGCACCCTCCGGCCCCCTGCCTCCCGGCGCGGGCGTCTTGCAATCCTGGGGGGGGAGACGGCGACCGGCGGGCATGACGGCGGACTGCGGATGGCACAGGGAGGGGAGGGGGGGTTGCGCGAGCGACCTGCAGTCTCGACAGACGAGACGACGACGGACGACGACGGCGGACTGCGGATGGCATATGAGGAGGGGGGTGCTGCGTGGGCGGGCGTCCTGCAGTCCTGGAGCGGCGACGACGACGAAGACAACGCCGGACTTTGGATGGCATAGGTTTGGGGGTGGGGATGCGCGGGCGTCTTGCAGTCCTGGGGCGAGGACGACGACGAGGAACGAGGACGAGGACGATGACGACGACACCGACGACCCGACCGACGACCAACGACCGAAGACGACCGAAGACGACGACGACGACGGACGACGAAGGGATGACGGACGAAGGGATGACGAAGGCCAACGCGACGACAAAAAAACATATGGCTGCGGAAAAAAGAATTAGAACGGTTTCTGCCCTTCACAACACGAAGGCGATCCCCTGGCCCGGGAGGGTACTTTTTGAAAACCGCCTCCTTCACTACATTGGGAACGTCTGAAGGATGTGCTGGGCGCCGCGGTCTCCTCAGAGCGCTCCAGGCGGCTCTGACAGGTGGTCCGGACCGCTCTGAAGAGATCGATCCCGAGGCTGGACTTAGGTCGGGCCTGTCCCCCGTACAGGGGGATTTTGGAGGAAAAGTGGCACCTAGTCAAGAAATGCGCCAGAATGGGCCAAAAGAGACCAGATGGTCCCCAGACTATTGTTTGACTATTTTTGACCACTCCTCCTGTAGACGGACAGGCCCGACTGCATGCCAGGCCCAATTCCGCAGGGGCGGGGTGGGCGGGAACGACCGAACAGACCACTGGTGCGGGCAGAGGGCCCCAGCCAGGCCTCGTGGGACCAGGCGAGTGGGCCCGTAGCCTCGAGATGCTGTTAAGTCGGGCCTGTTCCCCTACAGGGGGGATTTTCGGCGAAAAACATGGAACATACCCCAAACATACCCCCCAAAGGGTAAAGAAATGACAAAAAAATAGTCCCCAGACTATTTTTGGACTATGTTTTGACTATGTTTGCTGTATTGCTTATTTTTCGTCGAAAATCCACCTGTAGAGGGACAGGCCCGACCTAAAGATACTGCTGTATGTCAGGTCGGGCATGCCCCCATGTAGGCGGATCTCGGACGAAAAACTTAAAAAAACATCACCCAAAAAAAATTAGCCTGGCGAAGGACCCAACCATATGCAACTGTGAATACCGCAAGTGTGAATATCGTTTTCGGCGGCGCTGCCTCTGGGTAGTGGAGACGCATGCGAACACCCCCACTGGGGCCTTCGGTGGAGCTCCCTATGGGGCTACGAAACGCTGCCCTGGGTGGGGGAACGACAACTTATTGCTAGGCAGCCCCATTGGGGCTTAGGTTGGAGCTCCCTGTAGGGGCACGAAACGCTAGCATTGGTGGTGGGAACCGCATGCGGGCACCCCTACTGGGGCCATACGCAGAGAGCTCCCTATGGGGCTACCCCACGCTGTGCCTGGGGTGGGGGAATTAACAGAAGGAGGGCAGCCCCAATGGGGCCTACGGTGAGCTCCCTATGGGGCTACGAAACGATGCCATGGGGGGGACCGCATTTGTGGACACCCCCACTGGGGGCCTTCGGTGGAGCTTACCCTCTGGGGGCTACGTGACGCTGCTGTGGGGGAAACGCTTGGTGGTAGACCCCACTGGGGCCTTGGCCCTCGGTGGAGTCCATACGGGGCCACGGGGGCTACGAAACGCTGCCCTGGGTGGGGGAACCGCATGAGGGCAGCCCCACTGGGGCCTTCGGTGGAGCTCCCTATGGGGCTACGAAACGCTGCCCTGGGTGGGGAACCGCATGTGGACACCCCCACTGGGGCCTTCGGTGGAGCTCCCTCTGGGGCTACGAAACGCTGCCCTGGGTGGGGGAACCGCATGCGGGCACCCCCACTGGGGCCTTCGGTGGAGCCCCCTCTGGGGCTACGAAACGCTGCCCTGGGTAGGGGGACCGCATGTGTACACCCCCACTGGGGCCTTCGGTGGAGCTCCCTCTGGGGCTACGAAACGCTGCCCTGGGTGTGGGAACCGCATGTGGACACCCCCACTGGGCGCAATTCGGTGGAGATCACCTCATGGTGGCAACGAATCGCTGCCTGGGTGGTGGAACCGCATGTGGACACCCCCAAGGGGGGCTTCGGGTTGGATTCCCTCTTGGGGCTACGAATCGCTTGCCAGGGTTGGGTGGAAACGCATGTGGACACCCCCACTGGGGCCTTCGGTGGAGCTCCCTCTGGGGCTACGAAACGCTGCCCTGGGTGGGGGAACCGCATGTGGACACTCCCACTGGGGCCTTCGGTGGAGCTCCCTATGGGGCCACGAAACGCTGCCCTGGGTGGGGGAACCGCATGTGGACACCCCCACTGGGCCTTCGGTGGAGCTCCCTATGGGGCCACGAAACGCTGCCCTGGGTGGGGGAACCGCATGTGGACACCCCCACTGGGGCCTTCGGTGGAGCTCCCTATGGGGCCACGAAACGCTGCCCTGGGTGGGGGGAACCGCATGCGGGCTGTGCCACTGGGGCCTTCGGTGGAGCTCCCTATGGGGCTACGAAGCGCTGCCCTGGGCGGGGGAACCGCATGCGGGCTGTGCCACTGGGACCTTCGGTGGAGCTCCCTATGGGGCTACGAAACGCTGCCCTGGGTGGGGAAACCGCATGCGGGCTGTGCCACTGGGACCTTCGGTGGAGCCCCCTATGGGGCTACGAAACGCTGCCACCTGGGTGGGGGACGCATGTGAACACCCCCACTGGGGCCTTCGGGGGAGCTCCCTATGGGGCCACGAAACGCTGCCCTGGGTGGGGGAACCGCATGCGAACACCCCCACTGGGGCCTTCGGTGGAGCTCCCTATGGGGCCACGAAGCGCTGCCCTGGGTGGGGGAACCGCATGCGAACACCCCCACTGGGCCTTCGGTGGAGCTCCCTATGGGGCCACGAAACGCTGCCCTGGGTGGGGGAACCGCATGTGGACACCCCCGGAGGAGGGAGGAGGAGAGGAAGGAGGGGAACGCGGGGCACCGTCTCTTCAAAACGAGGACCCAACACCACAGGATGGTTGGGAAATACTCAAAGGTAGGGAGAAACGACAACATCGTCCACAGACTATTCTTTCTAAACTGGATGTGAAGAGTCCTGATTTAGAGAGGGCATGCCCGACCTAAGACAGATGAAAAGCTGTGCGGGGCAGTGGAGGAGGTCGAGGGGAGATCCCTGCAGCCGATGTCGGGGAGGGGGGGAGAAGGGGCAGAGGGCAGGGGGGGCAGGAGGCTTGGGTGCGACTGGGGGGTCTGAATGAGCACTGTTTAGCCTACCCCTGGCGCCATGGGAGCGGCCTGGGCCCCACTGGCCGATTTACTCGCCTAGATGAGGGTTTAGGCAGTTTCTTTCGTGTTTCGAGCGGTATATCCCCGACTGGGGTGCTGAGATAGCCAGGGCCTTGATGGGGATGGGGGTAAGGGTCGGTTATTAAACGATGCTGACGGAACTAACTGGGTGGGGCCCCACAAAATCTGCCAGGAAGGGGATCCAGCCAAATCCGCTCAACATGTGCCCTGGACCCCTCACCGCCCTCCCCGGGTCTACATGGTGCAAATTGTCGCCCTGGATCCGTTTTTGACGGTCCCGGGGCCCGGAAACGGCCTCCGGAGGCCGAAAAGGCAAGAGACCTCTTCGAGCCTGTTGAGCCTAGAACCTCCACCCCCCCCCTTCTTGCTGGCTGGAACCAGCGCTGGGGCACCTCAGATCCCCAGCCGGCGCCAAGAGGAGGGGGCGCGGCAGGGGGCGGGTGAGCGGGCATCGAACAGCCGCCCGAAATGGGTGCGGAAAACATGGGCACAATGCCCCACAACAAATGTTGTCCCAAATCAACAGCGGCCGCTGTTGGGCAGGCGGCCTCCTGTCTCGCGTGGACACAGGCCGCGGCGGCGTGGACAGCGAGTCCTGTTCAACCCATTCTGTCCGTACCCATCTCGATCGTCCCGAGCATCGAGCCGCCGCCCCCGACCCCCGGCGGCCGGCCGCGGGCCAGCCTTGCCCTCGTGGCCCAGCAGGTGGGAGACGTACGCCGTGGGCTTGGACCGCCACGCCGGGGCCTGGCGGCCGGGCCGCTCGGGGAAGCCGCCCCGCCGTCATGAGCGGAGCAGGGGCCGACCGCACCGCCATTCACATTGGCCTGCCACGAAAGATTCTCAGAGCCGAGTAAAGCGTTCGAAAAAAACAGGATTCTCCGAGAGCATGCAGCCGATGCTTCAAAACAAGACGACCTCAGCCCGAAGACATGTTCCAAGAACATTTAGTGCGAATCATGAAAAGTTCTGATAACCTGATTTGGTGGTCCTATGGGCAGGTCAGGACACCTCGCCACTGCTCGGCCGAAGGGGAAACGACACACGGTGGACTGGCTCCGACGGGGGGGCGTCGCCAAGGGGACGGCGATACATCGCCGACTGATCGGCGATGGGGTCTAGATCGGGCATTGCAGACTGGGAGGCGCTAAACGGAGGGAGTGAATAAAGGTAAACCTTTTGTATGCTTAAGGGGACCTGAAGGGCCGCCCGGGGGCCCAAAAGGGGCATGCAAGGCGCGCACTTCTGAAGGGGCCCTGCGACACGCAAATAAACAGACACTCATATCAGGATCCCCGATATGTTCCCATCGTTTCTGGGTTATCGTCTTCCCCCCCTCTTCCCATATTTCCTCACATTTTCTGCGAGATCGACGCTTACTTGTGTCTCTGTGTTTTGGGCCCTCCTGAGCTTCTCCCCCCCCTCCCCCACCCCTTCTTCATCGCCCCCCCCCCTTGCGCAACGCCCGAGTCGGTAGCGAACCCGCAGCTTCCGGGGCAGGGTGGGCCCCCCGGGCCCCCGTCGGCGATGCCTTGGCGCCTGGGGGCCGATGCCTCCCCCCGCCCGAGCCTCTCCCCCTGACCTTGCCGCTGGAGGGAGGGCCGCCCCCTCCTCTCCCCCCTACTCCCTATCTGGCCCGAAAATGGAGCCCTACCTCCTCCTCCTCCTCCCACCCCTCCTCCCCTCCTCCCTCCCCCTCCTCTCCTCCTCCTTCCCCTCCCTCTCCTACTCCTCCTCCTTTTTCTCCTCCTCCCCCTCCTCCTCACTCCCCCTCCCTCCCCCTCCTCCCTCTCCTCCCCTCTCCCCCTCCTCCCCCCTCCCCCTCTGCCCTCCCCTCCTCCTCCTCTTCCCTCCTCCGCCTCCCCTCTCCGTGGTCACCTGCAACGCGATCCTGGCAGGCCCACGGGCGCGGCACCTTCATGGTACACACACACACACATATATATATATATTATATATATATTTAATATATATATTATATATATGTGTCCTGGGAGGGACAAGACTGCACCGAGGCCCCTCAATGCGACGCAGGCAACGCAGCGCGGGCCGGCGCGGGTTGCGTGCAGGTGCACGGGGGGAACGCACGCTGCACTAGCACACGTCCCCAAGGGCCACCGATACTCGGCGTGGCGCCCGTCACCGAGCCAGCCGCTCCCCCCCTGGGTGTCGTGGCGTTCGACGCCGGCGGGGTCTGGGAACGGCTGCTCCAGACCACTCCCAAACCCCGCGGCCAGCAAAACGATACGCCGGTGGGCACCGCCACTCGTCCCCCGCGGCGACGCCCATCACGCCAGGAAGAAATCACCCCCAAATGGATTCCACCCTGGGCCTAAGACTGGTGGGAGCCTATGCTTTAGTGCGGTGATCCGCGACCTCCGCAGGCAAGAACTGCTATGCAGGAGAGGCCTTGCTGCCTGTAATGGAGCAACCGTCGAAACCACAGCCCCACAACGTACGTTCGCTTCCTGCATCCCCGCGCTCCTCCCCACCACGCATGTCCCATGTCGTGACCACTTGATCACGATTCAGTTGCAATGCAAAATGCAATTACATCGCGTTACGAGGACCACAAAACCAACATATGCAGAAGCTCAAAAGCACAAATGCGGTTCAACGGGGCGTGTCAAAGAATTCATCGTCGCCCTGCTTGCTCAGAGCCGTCCCTGGTCCCTCCATCCTTTTTTCAGGAACTGCATCTACCAACATTTACAAGAGAGCGACCCACCCCTACCTCCAGCATGAGTCGGAGCTCGGCGAAGGGGCCATTCTAGGGGACGCGAAAGGGCGCGGGACACAGGATTCTTCAGCATAGACTGAAACGGGCGCATGAAACCAAAGGTGGCACCCAGAGTGCAAACGAAGGCTATGGAGGGCTTCGTGCTGGCCTGGGGTTCAGGATGTCCGATCGGTAGCAGGCCCATGAACAAATACCCGGGACATCGGGAAACGAACAGAGCCGCCCAGTGTACCGTGGGTTCGTGTCGTGCCGACCCTGGCGTTGGCTCCTGACACAGCAGGGATGGTTCAGCCTTGAACGAGAGACCGTTCCTGGAACATCAGATCGTTCAATATCGACCGATTATGGGTCGCCGGCGGCGTTGAATGTTGAACGCCGGCGGCGGGATCGCCGTAGGTCGACACAACGCGAAGCTACCTTAGTGAGACATCTGCATTGGAAGCCCATACATCAACTTCCGGATCTCCGAGCGGATTTCTTGAATCGGCGCTGGGTCCCCCCTCCCTGGCGCGCGGAGCGCGTCACGGCGGGCAGCGCCAGAGGCGCCGCCAGGGGGGCCCAACGCCGATCCGAAAAATCCGCGCAGATCTTCGAAAATGTCTGTAAGGTGTAGTTTCTTATCATTCGTCGTCGTGAATTTTTCGCAACGTGGACCCCCAGAGGTCTCGACGCCACCCCCGGGACCAGCTTTTATTCATAGGTCGATCTCTTGACGACCCTGGGGTCTGGTGAGAGGCCCCCCGCGGCCGAACATGACTCAAAACCAGCCGCCGTTTGTGCAGTTTGTTATCGTTCGATGTTTGTTGACGGGGCCGCGCGTGCGTATGAAAGAGCTACAGAAGGGTTATTGGTGTCCTGTTGGACTTAAACGGTTGCCGATAACAATCACATGTTTCCTTTATGTTGGGCCACGGAACCTGCGACAACACAAAAAGCCTGTGAGACTACCAAGCAAAACAAACATCGACGGTGTTCAGAATCCGAGGCGGGAGGCGGGGGGAGGGCGGGGGAGGGACTGCTTTTTCAATGGCAACCACGAATGAATGCTGGGCCACGAAACCTGTGAGACTACCGAGAAAACAAAAAACTGTGAAACGACTCCCAAAACAACAACCAAAGGTTTTCAGGATCCGAGGCGGGGGAATCAGGCAGGTGTCCATCTCTCGATCCCTCCACCCCCCCGCCTCGGGTCCCGAAAACCTTTGAAGTTTGGTCCTGGTGTAGTTTCACATGTTTGCTATGTGTTTATTTGTTGTGTTTATTGTGCTTGCGTTTCTTATTGGTAGTGTCACACAGGCTTCGTGGTCCAAGAATAAGGAAACCTGTGACAGCCATTGGACAACCAATCAAGACGAACAAGAAACAAATAGTCCTTGTGGCTCTCACCCAAAAAAAAACAATAAGCTTCGCGCGAAGGCAACGGCCCCCTCCTCCTCCAACCCTGTATCTCGCGCTCTCTCTTTCTCTCTCTCTCTCTCTTCTTTAAGCAGTAACTGATACAGAGAAAGCTGTAGGATCAATATCGTATTGATTCCTACTGGTTCCCACTGCTTCATATTGATTCATATGTATTCCTATTGATTCCTATCGATCCCAATCGACTCCTACCAATTCCTACTCATTCCTATTGGTTCATCACGATCGTAATGGCTACAACAATGGCCGATTGGTTCCGACTGATTTCGAGTGGTAGTGTTTCCTATTGATTCTGTCAATCCCAATCGATTCCAATCAATTAGCTTTGATTCCTATTGGTTCCTGTTGATTCCTAATGATTCCGAAAATTTCCTCTTCGTTACCATTGGTTCCTACTGGCTCCTACTGATTCCTGTTGCTCCATGTTGGTTCCGATTGATTCCCGTTGATTCCTATCAAGTCCTATTGATTCAAAATAACTCCTGTTGGTTCCCATCGATTCCGAATGATTCCTGTTGAATCCTAGTCATTCCTGTTGATCCCTATTGATTGCTCGTGACTGCTATTGATTCCTGTTGCTTCCAATTGATGCCTCCTGATTCCTTCTGATTGCTATAGGTTCCTACCGAATCCTGAACTCTTTTTGCTTAAACAAGGGAGCGAGAGAGAGAGAGAGAGCGCGACGTGTTTAAGAGAGTCGCAAGCATTATTTGTCTTGTTGGACTTGATTTGTTTTTCAATGACGGTCACAGGCTTCCTTAACGTTGGGCATTCAACTTGAGACACGCCCAACCAACACAACAAAAACAAGAAACACAAAACCAAGGAGACGACCAAACAAAACAAACATCAAATGTTTTCAGGATCCGAGGCGGGGGAGCCGGGCAGGAGTCCGGCCATCCCTCCCCCCCCGCCTCGAATTCCGAAAACCTTTTATTTTTGTTGCGTGGGTAATCACATCAGTTGTTTTTGTTTTTTCTGTTTGATTCAATGGAGGACACCTGTGACTCTTTCAAAAACCAATCAAGACCAAACAACAAACAATACGCCTTGCGACCCTCTCAAAAAAATCTTCGCGCGAAGGGCATGGCCCCCTGTCTCTCGCTCCCTCTCTCTCTCTCTCTCTCCCTCCTATGTGCTTTGATGTTTCTCTCTCTCCCTCTCTCTCTCCTTCAATAAATAAGAAAAGGTAGGAATACGTAATAATCGTCAGGAAACAATAGGAAACAATAGGAATCAACAAGATTCAATACGTCAATACGAAAATTCAGAATCACTCGGAATCGCTCGGAATCAATTGGAATCGATTGGGATCAATGAAAAAAAACAAGAATCAATAGGAATTAATGGGAAAAAATCGGAATCCGTAGAAATCAGAAGGAATCAACAGGAACCACTAGGAATCATAATAAATCAATGGGGAGCAAGAAGAATGGACAGGAATCGCTGGGAATCACTTTGAAATAGAAGGAGGCAATACGAATCAATAGGAATCAATCGGAATGAATGGAAATCGATTGGGATCGATGGGAATCAATAGGAATCCATATGAACCAATAGGAATCAACAGGAACCAATACGAATCAAAAAGAATAGACAAGAATCACTAGGAATTATCCGGAACCAATAAGAATAAATAATAACCAACATGGATTACTGGGAATCAACGAGAGTCGAATGGAACCGATCAGAATCAAAAGCAATTAATACGAATCGATTGGAACGCACTAACTCCTACTGATTCCCATTGGTTCCTACTGATTCCATTAATTCCTGTTGATTCCAATCGATTACAATCGATTCCTATGAATGCCTGTTGGTTCCTATTGATTCCTTTTGATCTCAAGGGATTCCTTAGTGAATCCTAGTCATTCCTATTGGTTCCGATGTATTTCTAATGATTCCGATTGATCCCAGTTGGTTCCGATCGATGCCTACGGATTATGATTGATTCCTTTTGATTATTTCCGATTCCTACCTTTCTTATGGCTGAACGAACCGTCTCAGATGTATAAATGTTCGCATATCTACATACATGTGTATATATAGATATATGTACATGTACATATTCGCACCAGGGTATTTGGGCCATGTTCCATGGGTCTTCGCGGAAACGCCGCAGGATAACGTGTTGCGTGTAACTTCCCGGCTGGTTCTCTGGGCGACAGGTGCAGCAACAACTCTGTATGAACACCACGCTCGGGCTGCCACGTACCACCAAAAGTGGTGTACAGTGGACGTGCTCCTGGCCCCGAGGCAGCACCGCGCCAGGCGAGGGGCCTGGTACGGCAGGACCCACGCGAACGTCAGCTGCTTCACGTCCTGCACGGGAGCCCCAGCTCGGGCAGGCCGCGAGAACCAGGACGGGCGGGAGGGGCGGGCGGGGGCCGGACAGCAGGCACGCGGCGGCGAGGGCGCGGCGTCCGAAGGCCCCCCCTTTGATGGGCCTGTTTCCCACCATCACCACCATAAGTTGGAGGGGGGGAGGAGGAGGTGGAGGACGAGGAGGAGGAGGAGGAGGAGGAGGAGGAGGAGGACACCCTCCCCCTCCAACTTACGGTGGTGGTGGTGGAAAACAGGCCCATCACTCCCATCACCCCCGACTCGCCCTGAGATCCAGGCGCTGCAGCATGTTCACAGCGGGCGGCTTCGCCCGGTCTCGGGGGCTCAGGGACCCTCGCGGGTCGATGCGGCTCGAGAGACGGCGCAGAAAGACGAGGTTCGGGGCTCCGGGGGTGATTATTTGGGATGTCGCATGTGGTTTGCAATGTCAGATCTGAGGGCGGGAGGGATGAAGAGCATTCCGGATTTCATGAGAAAGGGGGTCTGACTTGGGGGGTCTGATTTGAGCTGCCTTTGAGGGTTTCGGGGGTCTGGGCAAAAGGCCGCCCGTTCATGGCTGGTCTGGGGGGTGTCTGAAATTGCTCGTCTGGGAAGGTTGTGACTCCCCACCCTCGTATTATGAATTCCGGAGCATCAATGACACGCGGAGTCTGCGAGGTGCAGATATATGCATACCCGCCACCCGGGGAACCGACGTCCTGAGACCCCAGCCTGCTGTGGGTGTGGGCCCGTGGGAAGGGGGGGGATGGGGGGGTGAATCCGCCGACCACCGCATGCCGGGGCGTGGCGAGACTCCAGCATCGCCTACCGAACGCCCTTGACGTCTCTACTCCGCTGGGGGTCGGCGGAATGGCGCAAGCCAGTTGGATACCACCAGATCCACCGCCGGCCGAGATTGCCGAGGATCGATCCCCCAGGCGGAGGTTCATTATGGATAGATCCCCGCCTCACAAAGTTGCCCATCAGACTAAGCGCATTCCTCGCTTGCTTCGTGTGCACAAGGAGCCTGGTGCTTTCGACAGAATGACACTGATGGGGTCGTTCTTCCCTCCTGCTCCGCCCCCCATCATCCAAGCCCGACACCAGGTTCGCGTGTTCCCGTCACTCTCAGAGAGAACAGCGCGGAAGGTCCTCGGAAAAAGCCCAACTGGCAGCGATCGAGCCGCGAGGGCGCCTCAATGCGCAACGATCCAGGCCAGAGCTCTTATCAATCGTCCGAGCGACGGCGATGACAGCGACGATGGACGAAACGACATACATGGATCAAGACACGAGCCGGGAGGACAATACTGAGAAAGAGAGAGAGAGAGAGATAGACAGAGAGAGAGAGAGAGAGCGGGGAAACAAAGGGAACATCTAATGAGAGAAGGATGAGAGAAAGTATATCCGCATACGTGACTAGATATACAGTCGGGCTGCTGAAAGAAGGAACGCTGAATAAGGAACGAAGCCCCTTCTTGGCCCTGTAAGTGCCTCCGTGCCCCAGGAGGGCAAGAGGAACAGCACTGGAGGAACCTTCGGAACATCGAGCCCCTTCCGAACCTAAACTGTTCCAAATTCCAGCGTCTTGACTGTACACAGAATCTACGTACCCCTCGTGCCCACAAAAGGACTCCACACCAGACCAGAAGGGCCTAGAACGGAGCACGGGACTGGTCAACCAGGGCCTGGGCAAACCGCTGAGCTTGCATCACTCTCAGATAAGTCAATGGCAGGTGTAAAACGGGGACGCGTGTGGAGCGCCATCTATGAATGGCGCTTAGGTTCTAGTGCAGGCCAGTGCAGCGCTCCAACACAGAAAGATGGACAACCTCGTCATCATCGAACGCGTACGATGGGGCACAGGAACGTCATGACTGCTGAGAGGGGCCTCTGGCGTCGTCGTCGGCCCCTTTTTGCGCCACTTCGGCGGTCAGGGAGCGTGACCGCCACCGTGCAGTCGGCACGGCCGAGACGCTCCGCCTCCTCCTCCTCCTCCTCCTCCTCCTCATCCTCCTCCTCCTCCTCCTCCTCCCTCCTCCTCTCCCTCATCATCATGATCATCATCATCATCATCATCACATCCTCATCCTCATCCTCATCCTCATCTCATCCTCATCATCATCATCTCATCATCAGCAGCATCTCATCATCATCATCAGCATCAGCATCATCATCATCACACATCATCATCATCATCATCATCATCATCATCATCATCACCATCACCATCACCATCATCACCATCATCATCATCATCAGCATCATCATCATCATCATCATAATCATCATCATCAGCATCATCATCATCATCAGCATCAGCATCATCATCATCATCATGATCATCATCATCATCATCAGCATCATCATCATCATCATCATCGTCGCCGTCGTCATCATCATCAATATCATCATAATCATCATCCTATGCCGCTTGCTCCGGCACCGCCTCTGCCCTCTACGTCACCTCCTTTCTCTGGAGGCCTTGCTCGCACTACGCCTGCGTCCCTCCTCCTCCTCGTCACTCCACATTCATTCCTTCTCGTCCTCCTGCTCCTCAATGTTTTCCGCCGCTCCTCCATGTTCATCCTGTCCCGTGTCCTGCTCAGCCTCCCTACCCCTCTTTCTTCTCCTGGTTTCACACCTCCTGCTCCAACTCCTCCTCCTTTCTTTTTGGTCCCCCTCCTCCTCCTCCTTCTCCGCCTCCGCCTCCTCCTCCTCCGCCTCCTCCTCTTCTCTTCTCCTCCTTCTCTACTTGTGGCGCCCTGGGGCGCTCCGCGAGGTAGACTATCCTCCTCGTTCTCCTCCTCATCCTCCTCGTTTTCCCTTTCCTACTCCACCTCCCCCTCCTGCTCGGGCCGACGACAGCGACGCGCACGCGAGCGCTCGCACCGGGCGCCCCGCTGCGGGGGGGGCTGCCACGCGCGGTGGAGACGACGATACACTCTGTGGGCGTCCTGGACGTCCCGCGGACGGTCTGGACGGCCTCAGGGCCCCTCTTGGCACGCTCCGGGCTCGTCTGTGGAGCCTCACACACTGTCTGAGGAAGGCTTTCGGGCCTGTGGGCCGTCTTGGGGGTTCCGTGGGCCGTCGTGGGGATCCCTGGAGCGCCTCGTGCGAAATCGTAACCGCAGTGGAGAGCCCAAGCGCGCGATTCCTGAAAACGTCAGTGTTATGTTGGGAATTGCCCTATGTTGGTCTCCCGACGTCTTCTCGGGGCGCGTCAGGGGAGGCTCCAGATGCGTCTCTCGGAAGCCTCCGGGCCCTGCTTGAGGTCCACATGGGGCCTCTTGGAGCGCTCGGTGGGGGTGTCGGTCGTCCCTTCGGCGTTCTGAACGGCCTCAGGACCCCGCCAGGCACGCTCCGGGCCTCCTCTGGAGTGCCGCCCAGGCCATCTGGGAAACCCTCTTGGGGTCGTCTTGGGCCATCTTGGGGGGGTCATGAGCCTTCGTTGGCCTCCCTGGAACGCTGCAGCGCTTCGGGCGCCGTCGTAGACGTAGTGGAGACCTAGTGGAGACCTCAAGCGCGCGGTTGCTAAGAATGTAGGCTTCCCCAGCAAAGGAATTGCCTAATGTTTGCCTCCCAACGCCCTCTCGGGGAGCGTATGGGAAAGTTCTGGAGGCATCCAGGGAGCCTCCAGGCCCTTCTTGAGGTCACCCTGGGGCCACTTGGAGCGTTCCGTGGGCGTCTTGGACATCCCCCGAGCTGTCTGGACGGCCAATGGACCCCTCTTGGTACGGTCCAGGCCGCCCAGTCCTTCCATGCGCTAGCAAGGACGGGTCCCGCGCCCCCCCCTCCCGCCCCGTGCCCAGGTATATACGTTTATATATATATATATGTAGAGAGAGAGAGGAGTGAGAGAGATAGAGATGTATAGGTGTGTGTGTATATATATGAACATTTACCTACATACATACATACACGCGAGAGAGAGAGAGAGAGAGAGAGAGAGCGAGAGAAACATAACAAGAAGATGAAGAGAGATCGAGAGAAAGAGAAAGAGGGAGAGACACAGAACACAGCAAAAAAAACAGAGAGCGAGGCTGCCCCACTCGCCCGCCCCACCGCCTCGTGCGCGCCGCCCGACAGGGCCGGGGGCGGGCACCGCGCGGGCCCGTCCTTCACCGGGCACTGCAGCAGCAGCCTGTTCCAGTCCTGCGGCAAGAAGGGCGGCTTGTCGCTCACGGCGTCCCCCAGGGGCAGCGACAGGCCTGCGCGGGATGCCCCCCCCCCTCGAAGAGGTTTGCGGCGGAGGCTCCTCCTCCGCAACCTCCTCCTCCTGCTCCTCCCTCCTCCTCCTCCTCTTCCCTCACTCCCACCTCCCTCCCTTCCTCCCTCCTCCCTACCTCCCTCCTCCCTCCTCCTCCTCCTCCTCCTCCTCCTCCTCCTCCTCCTCCTCCTCCTCCTCCTCCTCCTCCTCCTCCTCCTCCCGCTGATCCTCCCGATCCTCCTCCTGCGTCGCGCGCGACAAAAAACACACGACGAACGGCGTTCTTAGACTTCCGGGGGGCCCTCGCCCGGCCCTGGGGACCGTCAAGCCTTTGACTCGGGAGGGAAGGCCGGTCCTGGGGAACGGGTCCGGACTGCTGGGGCCCCCGCGTTATATTTCCCCACATCCTAAGTGGGGTTCTTGTTTTCTCTGCACACCCTCCGCGCAGGATCTCTCGTCCTCCTCCCTCTCCTCTGCTCCTCTTTGCTTCCTCCTCCGCATCATCATCACCATCACCATCACTCCCCACTCATCATCATCATCATCATCATCATCATCATCATCATCATCATCATCATCATCATCATCATCATCATCATCACCATCAGCATCACCATCACCATCGCACGATCATTCACCATCATCGGCATCGAACGATCATCATCATCATCATCATCATCATCATCATCATCATCATCATCATCATCATCATCATCATCATTATCATCATCAGCATCATCAGCATCATCATCATCATCATCATCATCATCATCATCATCATCATCATCATCATCATCATCATCATCATCATCATCAATTCATATATCATCATCAAACACCGTCGTCATCATCCCATCACCATCATCCACCAAGAGGGAGCCTCGTCTGTGAGTGAATTGCGAGGAAGTCTCAGGCGGGAGCCCCCTCCCTATGGGGCCCGCAGATCATGTTACTAATCCGAGCGGGTCATCGGATTCCTGTAACTGTCGTCACTTTTGGGCTCCTCAAATCTGAATTTGGAGGAAATATCAAGCGGGAGCCTCGTCTGTGAGTGAATTGCGAGGAAGTCTCAGGCGGGAGCTCCCTCCCTATGGTGCCCGCATATCATGTTACTAATCCGAGCGGGTCCTCTGATTCCTGTAACAATCGTCACGCTTGAGCTCCTCAAATCTGAATTTGGAGGAAGTACCAGGCGGGAGCCTCGTCTGTGAGCGAATTGCGAGGAAGTCTCAGGCGGGAGCCCCCTCCCTATGGGGCCCGCAGATCATGTTACTAATCCGAGCGGGTCATCGGATTCTTGTAACTGTCGTCACTTTTGGGCTCCTCAGGTCTGAATTTGGAAGAAGTATCAAGCGGGACCCTCGTCTGTGAGTGAATTGTGAGGACGCGTCAGGCGGGAGCCCCCTCCCTATGGAGCCCGCAGATCACGTTACTAATCCGAACGGGCCATCGGATTCCTGTAACCGTCGTCACGTTTGGGCTCCTCAGATTTGAATTTGGAGGACGTATAAAGCGGGAGCCTCGTCTCTGAGTGAATTGTGAGGAAGTCTCAGGCGGGAGCCCCCTCCCTATGGGGCCCGCAGATCATGTTATTAATCCGAGCGGGCCATCGGATTCCTGTAACCGTCGTCACTTTTGGGCTCCTCAGGTCTGAATTTGGAGAAAGTATCAAGCGGGAGCCTCGTCTGTGAGTGAATTGTGAGGAAGTCTCAAGCGGGAGCCCCCTCCCTATGGGGCCCGCAGATCATGTTACTAACCCGAGCGGGTCATCGGATTCCTGTAGCCGTCGTCACTTTTGGGCTCCCCAGGTCTGAATCCGGAGGAAGTGTCAGGGGGGAACCTCGTTTGTCAGCGAATTGCGAGCAAGTCTCAAGCGGGAACCCCCTCCCTATGGGGCCCGCAGATCATGTTATTAATCCGAGCGGGCCATCGGATTCCTGTAACTGTCGTCACTTTTGGGCTCCTCAAGTCTGAATCCCACCAGCCCGTTGGGCGTGAGTGGTTTAGCGAGCTCTCTCTCTCTGTTCTCAACCCCCCTTTCTTCCCCTTCGGTGAGGGGTTTACCCCTCCCCCTACCCCCTCCCCCTGGGCCTGGAGAGGGCGCCTCGCTGGTCGTTGGAGGGGTCTTGTTCGACTCCTGGGAGGGCAAAAAAAACGACACCCCTCACGAGGATTCTGGCCCCGACGGGGGGAGGGAGACAAGATACTCCCCTCTTCTTTGAAGCCAAAATCATTCATTTTACTATGGTTTTGGCCCCATTTTGGCCTTCTCAGGGGGCAGCGCTAATTAAAGCCCCCATCTTCTGTCAAGCCAAAATCATTGATTTTACGAAGGTTGTCGCCCCATCTTGCCCTTCTGAGGGGGCAGCGCTAATTAAAGCTCCCCTCTTCTTTGATCGATTTCCTCCAAGAAGGCCCCAAGAAGCGCCCAGGAGGCACCATAAGGCCCCAAGATGGCCCCAAGAGGCCCCCAGGAGGCCCCCAAGAGGCCTCCCTCAGGCCCCCAAGATGCCCCCAAGAGGCCCCCAAGAGGCCCCAAGAGGCCCCCCCCCGAGGCACCCAAAACGCTCCTGGAAGCCCCTGGGGCCGCCAAGAGGCCCCCAAGACGCCCCAAACGGCCCCCAAGAGGCTCCCAAGAGGCCCGAAGAGGCCCCCCCAAGGCACCCAAGACGCTCCTAGAAGCCCCTGGGGCCGCCAAGAGGCCCCCAAGACGCCCCAAAAGGGGACGAGGTGCCCGAACGCCTCACGCCACGAGGAGCCCGAACGACTCACACCAGGACGAGGGGCCCGAACGACTCACACCACGAAGAGCCCGAACGACTCACACCAGAGGGGGGGGCCCGAACGACTCACACCAGGACGAGGCGCCCGAACGACTCACACCACGAGGAGCCCGAACGACTCACACCACGACGAGGGCCCCAAGAGGCCCGAAGACGCTCTCCCAAGGTACCCAGCACGCTCCTACAAGCCCCAGGGGCCGCCAAGAGGCGCCGAAGAGCTCAAGAGCCGCAGACAGGCTCCAAAACACATCTCACTACTATTTACTCCTAACCTACTCCTACTCCACTCCTTACTTCCTACGACTACGACTACTACTTCCTTACTACTACTACTACTATATACTATACTACTACACGGCGACGACTGACGACGACGACGACGACGACGACGACGACGACGACGACGACGACGACGACGACGACGACGACGACGACGACTACTACTACTACTACTACTACTACTAATACCACTACATCATCTGCTACTCCTACTACGACACCTCCTACTACGTCTACTTTACACAAGTTTTCGCCCCAGTTTGCCCTTCTGAGGGGGCAGCGCTAATTAAAGCTCCCCTCTTCTTTGATCGATTTCCTCCAAGATGGCCCCAAGAAGCGCCCAGGAGGCACCAAGAGGCCCCAAGATGGCCCCAAGAGGCCCCCAGGAGGCCCCAAGAGGCCTCCCTTAGGCCCCCAAGATGCCCCCAAGAGGCCCCCAAGAGGCCCCCAGAGGCTCCCCCGAGGCACCCAAGAAGCCCCTGGGGCCGCCAAGAGGCCCCCAAGACGCTCCAAACGGCCCCCAAGAGGCCCCCAAGAGGCCCGAAGAGGCCCCCCCAAGGCACCCAAGACGCTCCTAGAAGCCCCTGGGGCCGCCAAGAGGCCCCCAAGACGCCCCAAAAGGGGACGAGGTGCCCGAACGCCTCACGCCACGAGGAGCCCGAACGACTCACACCACGAAGAGCCCGAACGACTCACACCAGAAGGAGGGGCCCGAACGACTCACACCAGGACGAGGCGCCCGAACGACTCACACCACGAGGAGCCCGAACGACTCACACCACGACGAGGGCCCCAAGAGGCCCGAAGACGCTCTCCCAAGGCACCCAGCACGCTCCTACAAGCCCCAGGGGCCGCCAAGAGGCGCCGAAGACGCCTCAAGAGGCCTCAAACTGGCTCCCACGACACATCTACTACTACTTCTGCTCCTACTCCTACGACGACTACTACTACTACTACTACTACTACTACTACTAATAATAATAATAATACTACTACTACTAATAATACTAATAGTACCACTACATCATCTGCTACTCCTACTACTACAACTCCTACTACGTCTACTACTAGATCTAGCCCTACTACTACTACTCCTACTACTACTGCAACTACTACTACTGCTACTACTACTAGTACTACCACAACCACTGCTCATAGTACCACTGCTAGTAGTGCTACTGGGACTACTACTACTGCTGCTATTCGTAGTAGGACTTCTACTTCTACTCATACTAATAGTCCTATTACTGCTACTACCACGACAACTACCACTACAACTACGAAGACTACCATCACTACTACTGCTTCTATTACTGCTACTACTACTACTACTACTACTACTACTACTACTACTACTACTACTACTATTACTACTACTACTACTACTACTACTACTACTACTACTACTACTACTACTACTACTACTACTACTACTACTACTACTACTACTACTACTACTACTAACTACTAACTACTAACTACTACTACTACTACTACTACTAACTACTAACTACTAACTACTACTACTACTACTACTACTACTACTACTACTACTACTACTACTACTACTACTACTACTACTTCTACTCATGCTCCCAAGAGGCCCGAAGACGCTCTCCCAAGGCACCCAGCACGCTCCTAGAAGCCCCATTTGGCCCTTCTGAAGGGGGCAGCGCTAAGTAAAGCTCCCCTCTTCTTTGATCGACTTCCTCCAAGATGGCCCCAAGAGGCGCCCAGGAGGCACCAAGAGGCCCCAAGATGGCCCCAAGAGGCCCCCAGGAGGCCCCCAAGAGGCCTCCTTAGGCCCCCAAGATGCCTCCAAGAGGCCCCTCCAAGATGGCCCCAAGAAGCGCCCAGGAGGCACCAAGAGGCCCCAAGATGGCCCCAAGATGGCCCCAAGAGGTCCCCAGGAGGCCCCCAAGAGGCCTCCAAGAGGCCCTCAAGATGCCCCCAAGAGGTCTCCAAGAGGCCCCAAGAGGCTCCCCCGAGGCACCCAAGACGTTCCTGGAAACCCCTGGGGCCGCCAAGAGGCCCCCAAGACGCCCCAAACGGCCCCAAGAGGCCCCCAAGAGGCCCGAAGAGGCTCCCCCAAGGCACCAAGAGGCTCCCCAAGAGGCCCCCAAGACGAGGCCCCAAAAAGGGCTCGAGGTGCCCCCCGCCTCACGCCACGAGGAGCCCGAACGACTCACACCAGGACGAGGGGCCCGAACGACTCACACCACGAAGAGCCCGAACGACTCACACCACAAGGAGGGGCCCGAACGACTCACACCAGGACGAGGCGCCCGAACGACTCACACCACGAGGAGCCCGAACGACTCACACCACGACGCGGGCCCCGAACGACTCACACCACGAGGAGCCCGAACGAGTCACACCAGGAGGAGGGGCCCGAACGACTCACACCAGGACGAGGGGCCCGAACAACTCACACCACGAGAAGCCCGAACGACTCACACCAGGACGAAGAGCCCGAACGACTCACACCACGAAGAGCCCGAACGACTCACACCAGGAAGAAGGGCCCGAACGACTCACACCAGGACGAGAAACCCCAAACGACTCAAACCACGAGGAGCGCTTTCTCTCCCTCCTCCTCCGCCTCGTCCTTCTCCCGCTCCCCCCACAAGGAGGATGTACAAGGAGGCGGGAGGAAGGAGGAACAGGGGAGATATGCGGGGCCAAGCGGACACACGCCTGAAAAACACGACTGTCGGCATGCTTCGCAAGAGTTGCTGTTGTGAGATGGGCTGGTGGGGATACGCGAAGCGTAAAGAATTTGGAAGACGTATCAAGCGGGACCCTCGTCTGTGAGTGAATTGTGAGGACGCGTCCGGCGGGAGCCTTCCTATGGGTCCCGCAGCTCACGTGGTTCCTCCGGGTCATCCTCCGGCGCGCGCTTCCTTTGGGTCGTCCTCCGGCGCGTATCGGCTGGGACGCACGTCGTGCGTTTCCTCTGGGTCGTGTTCCGCGCGAGGACGAGGAGGAGGAGGATTGCCAGGAAAAGGAGGAGGGATGATGCAGGACGAGACAGAAAAGCAGGAAGAGGAAGAGGCTGAGGGGAGGAAGGACGAGGAGGAAAAGGAGGAGGAGGAATGCCCGAGGAGGCCCCAGTAGGTCCCGGAAGGCCCAGAAGGCTCCAGGAGGCCCCAAGAGGCCCCAGGAGGCCCCAGGAGGGGGCAGGAGGCCTAAGGAGGAGGAGGAGGAAAGGAGGAGGAGGAGGAGGAGGAGGAGGAGGAGGAGGAGGAGGGAATGGGGAGGAGGGGGGAGGAAATGGAAAGAGGAGGCGAGGAGGAGGAGGAGGAGGAAGCGGATGAGGGAGAGGGAGAGGAGGAGGACAGGGGATGAGGAGGAGGAGGAGGAGAAGGGAGAGGGAGAGCAGGAGGAGGAGGCAGGAGGCAGGAGGGGCAGGGGGAATGGGGGGGAGGAAGCATAACGAGGGGGAGGGGGAGGAGGTGGAGGAGGCAAGAAGAGGAGGAAGAGGCAGGGGTTGAGGCAGGAGGAGGAGCAGACAGGAGGAGAACGAGGAGGCAAGAGTAGGTGGGAGAAGGGAAGGGGCAGGAGGATACCCCCATGCAAGCTAAAGAGATTATCATGTGGGGTCCTTCCGTCGGAGTATTTTTTTTGTTTCGTATGTCTGGGACGCTTCTGGGCGGGGGGCCAGGGGAAAGAAGCGGGGAGGACAGGTACAGTCGGACTTCATTGGAGAGGACACGCGAGAGGACACAAGAGCCTTCCGAGGGCCACATTGCCACAGGAATGCAGGAGGCACGGGTCGCGAGACACAGGACACAAGGGTACCCTGGATTTGGCAGGGCCGACTGTACTCCAAATGGGAAAAACGGTACCCCGCTCGCTGAGGGGGCAGGAGGCGCAGGCGGAGGAGCCTTTGTCCACAACGGCGGAGAACTTGTCACGGACCATCGCCTCCAGCTCTGGCAGGCTTTCCTTGCCGATGACGCACGCCGTCATGCCGTTCGCGGAGTGCGCCGGCCCCGCCGCTTGGGGCTGCACTGCTCACAGCTGCACCGCGCAGTGTTCCCCATCGAACTGGAAACAGCAAAGCTCACCCAGGCCACGTACTCCACCTGATTTTCTTGCACCTGCTCCCCATCCCCTCTGCGAGGTGGGAGTTTCTACATAGCCCCCGCCCGTGCAACCCAAGTCCTGGAACACCCCCACCCAGGGGGCGGTGGATATGGATATATAGTTGGCCTCCCTGGGGCCCAACTTTTTCATATCCACCGCCTGCCGAGGCCCTCGAGAATCGATCCCCCAGGCGGCGGTTGTGGACCACGATAATCCCCCGCCTCGGACCATTCCTTTCGCGCCAACCCGAGCCTTGGGCCTGGGTGGGTAGGCCGAACTGCAGGCCAGGATTGACCGAAACCGCCGTGTTCGCCGCTGCACGGCAGAGTTCCTGATCGAACGATCCTGCACTGGCGACCGATCCCGGCACTCCTTGGCCCTCTCCCCGATTGTGCTCCAGCCAAGTTTCCGAGGCGAATTCAGCCGTGGCGACCAAGGCCCCTTGGCCTCCTCCAGCCCGAGTCCGAGTCCGAACCTGAGCCCGAGTCCGAGCTCAAGTCCGTGCCGGAGCTGGAACCCGAGCCCAAGCCCCGAGCTCGAGCTGGAGCCCGAGCCACCTCGGGTTCCAGCTCCAGGCTCTAGCTTCGGGCTCGGGGCCAGGGCTCGGACTCGAACCCTCCAGCCCTCCTACCAAGGAGGGGCCCGGGGAGCCGACGTTGCGAAACGTCGCGCAACCTCTCCAAAAATCACGTTTGCAGCCCTGGGGCCCAAGCTTTCTGCGACGTTTTTCGAGCCAAACGGGTCTGTGCGGGTCCAGCCCTCCAGCCCTCCTGCCTCAAGGCGGCCGCGCGCGGCCCCGGAACACCCCCACAAGAGCCCCCAAGGACCCCCCCGAATCCTTCCAACACCTGGGGGCAATGAGTGTTTTTGTTGTTTTCTCGCCGTTTCGCTTCCGATGGCCCTCGGAAGCATGCATCAAGATGGCTCCAGTATGGCCTAAAAGGGCGCCAAGAGAAACCCAAGAGGGTCCCACGAACGCCCAAGAGCGCCCAAGAGCGTTCCAAAAGCGCCCCAAGAGGCGAATTTGGACGCTCTATATGGGCGGCGCTAGTAAATGCCCCCCCTCTGATCGACGCGTTGCAAGATGGCTTCGGAAGGGCCTACATGGCTCCCAAAGGAAACCCAAGAGACCCCCCACAAATGCCTAAACGGCCCCAAGGAGGCCTCGAGAGGCACCCCTCAACGATACCTAGACGCCCCGAAGGGCCAACGAAACTGCCCAAACCATCCCAATCGGCCTAGGAGGCCACAAAGAAACCCCCGTGCATCCAAGATGCCTCTGGCCTTGCTCGCGCTCCTCCCCCATCATCCTCCTCCTCTTCCTCCGCCGCATATTCTTCTTCCTCATCCTCGTCCTCGTCCTCCTCCTCCTCCTCCTCCTCTTCCTCCTCCTCCTCCTCCTCTTCCTCCTCCCCCTCCCCCTCCCCCTCCCCCCCCTCCCCCTCCTCCTCCTCCTCCTTCTCCGCCTCCTCCTCCCCCTCCTCCTCCGCCTCCTCCTCCCCGTTCGACAAATGACGGCTGTGCCCTATCTGGCTCCTACGCGCCCCTGGTCACCCCAACTATCCTGGGCATCGTTTCTGGATGTTTTTGTCCGTCGCGGCCGCAGGCGAACGCGCCAGCAGCGTCAGAGGTCGGGCGGGCTACGCGCTAACCGAATTGCCTAGCGCACGGGGACCGACGGCCGAACCTAAGCTGCCTAAACTGCCTAAGCTGCCGGGCTGCGCGAAGTGGTGCCAGGAAGCGGGGCAGGGCCCGAAACCTTGCCGACGGGCGATGCAAACTGCAACCAGGACCAGAATCCGGGGGCAGCGCCGATGCACAAATTGAACCAAGGAGCTATACGCAGCCAAAATGGCGCGGCAAGGTCACAGACAGCGAAGCTGACACGTGAGCGCTGAGGGCGTATAGGACTTGAAGTAGGATCAACCACGCGAGGGTTCCATGCACACAGCCCTGATCGTTTCTGGACGCGCGAAACGTCAACAATTCGCAACCTGATACCAAATATGTGCCCGGGCTTCCTGTGAACTCGATCGAGCCTCTGCGCAGCGCCGCGGCGGCGCGCGTGCACATCATGATATGTGTTCAACACGGACTCTGAATTCAATCGTACATGTTCCGGCTTTAACAAGACCGTGCGCTGGCGACGGCGCAAAACACTCGCACGCGCGTTGCCAAAATTACCAACGAAAGCGGAATCGCCCCGCACCGACTACTTCCAAGCAGCGGAGGACCCCCCAAAAATCCAGCATGCGCCGCGAAGCCTCAAGTACAGTTCAAGAAGAACTGACCTCGGACACGTCTCTTTCCCCTCCATGCGTCCACATAAACGAACTTGATCATGCGCAACTGCGAAACACACATACGAGCGCGACGCGTGACTGCAGTCTTTTCGCTGCGCCCACACAAACCCTCCACCGCCACGAAGACCCCCACAAACCCTGCGCGCCCGCGGGCCAGGGTGCCAACGCGCTCAAGATGCGCGCAATTACTCGGCCCATTTTCGCCCTGCACGCGAGCTGGTACGCGAACCTCTCGCGGGACCCACAACACTCTGGCGCCCCCACCCGATGCGGAACCGGCTTCTCTGGATTGTCGTCGCCGCGCCCCTCGCGCCCCACCACACTTCAACGAAGGTGATGACCTTCCCGTGCGCCACTTTTCCACGAGAGAGAAAGATGAGGCGTTCCTGCGACCCCCTTCTTTTGAAATGTAATGGCCCCTCCTTCACTGTGGGAGCTCCCCCTGCCCCTCCGCGTCGCCACGGCCCAGCGGCAGCCCAACAGCGTGACCAGACGCTGAAAACGCAGACGGCTGCCCACTCGACGAAGCGAGCTCCCACGCCTGTGCCCAGCGCTGTGCGCGCGTGCTCATATAGGTGCGCAGTGCAACCGCCACGTCGGCATGCTCGCCTCAGTGCTCTGATGTCGCGCATAATTCAAAAACCCCCCATTGATTTAGGAGGCAACTACTGGGAGGTTTTCGTCGGAAAGGTTAAGGAGGATTAAGCCCCACTGGGGGACTGTTACGCCAGAGTGGGCCTCGGATCAAGCGGGATTAAGCTGGATTAAACGGGACTCAGCCGGAATAAACCGGATTAAGCGAGATTAAACGGGATTGAGCCAGATTAAGCGGGATTTCGGACCAGGGCCGAAATTGATGGGGTGGTGGGGATCGGGGGGGTAGAAGCCCCAAACCCTGAAAGGCTTCACTTCAGGCAGTTCGGGGCGGGAAGGCAACCTCGGAGCGCGCGCGACCAGGGCCGCGACACTCCTCAACAGCCAGGAAGAAGGGGGATCGCAGCCAGCGCGCTTTGATCAATGCAGACCGCCTTCCCAAGCGCTCCCGCGTCTAGGGTCTCGATACATTACACCGCGAAGCAAGCTTTTGCGCTAGTCGCAGGGCGCGCCTGCGGGTAGGGGGTACGAACAGGCCGGCCGAGTGGGCCATGGCACCGAGGCACGTGCAATGCGCGGCGCGCAGGCGGTCGAGGTCCAATCGGGCGCCAAGACACTCGAACCAAAGTCGGTGGACATCGCGAAGCGCAGCCCCCGGCGACGCGCCCAGCTTGCCCCTGTATCGCCAATGCGTCAGCAACCCGCTGCGGAACACGACCTGGAACACTACCCGCGGGTCGCCTCGCACTCCCGCGCCGCATCACCGTCGCATCGGCCTTCAAAGCGCTGCCTGGGCACTGCGCGCCTGCGCCCGCGCCCTCTCTCCGGTGGGCATCCCCCGTCGTCGATGAGAGCTCTTCGCGCCTGCGGCCATGGTCGGAGGGCACCTTTTGATGGGGGCAAACATCGCGAAGCGCATGCCGTAGCGACGTGCCAAGTTGCGCTACGCATAGCCAGTGCGTCGGCAATCAGCTTTGAAAGGCAACCCACTGGTCGCCTGGGCCATGTTCCGCACCGACACTGCATCGGCCATCGAAGCATTACATAGATGCTGCGCACGTCGCATCGCAATGAGTCATCGCCGTCGACGCGTTGAGCTGTGCATGTCATGGGTCTTGGGTGGGGCGGGACGATCTAGGAGGGTGCGCCGCTGGATCTCCCCAAGGGGGGGGGGTAGGACCCCCCCCCTCGCCCCCTTCCCCGATCCGTCGTCGGGCAAACCCCCCCCCTCCCCCCCTTCCCCGATCCGTCGTCGGGGACCCCCCCCCCTCCCCCCTTTCCACGACCCGTCGTCGGGGACCCCCCCCCCCCCCCCCCTTTCAAAATGGGGGGGGGGGGTCCGCACCCCCCCCCCCCCCCTTTCGCCACGCCGCCCCCTGACGCCGGAACCCGGCCCCCGCCACCCCTACCCCTAGTCCTCACCCGAACCCAAACCCCGAATCCGAACCCGAACCACTAACCCCAGCCCCAAAGGGAGTCACGAGGGGCCCCCTACCCCCTAACCACTAAACCCAGCCCCGTACTCACTACCCCCTACCCACTACTCGCCATTCGCAACTCACGACCCACTAGTCACTATCCACTACTCACTACCCACCACCCACTACTCGCTACTCACTACTCCCTACTCCCTACTCACTACTCCCTCCTCCCTACTCACTACTCACTCCTCACTACCCACTATTTAAAACTCACTACTCACTAAGCGCGAGTCACTACTCCCTATTCACTACTCAATAATCACTACTCATTACCCACTACCCACTATCCACTACTCACTACTAACTACTCATTGCCCACAAATCACTACTCACTACCCACTACCCGCTACTCGCTACTCCCTAAACAATAGTGACTACACAGTACCCAGTACTCGCTACTCGCTACTCCAATACTCGCTACTCAATACTCACTACTTACACCCCGCTACTCAGTATTCACTACTCACGACTTACTACTCCGTACTCACTAGTCACTACATAGTCTCTAGTCACTAGTCACAACTTTCTAGTCACTAGTCAC